AAACTGAATCCATGCACTACACTAAAGTCAAAATGCATCAACAACCTAAATATTAAAACAGAAAAACTAAATCTGCTGGGAAACTCTTGAAGACATTAATGTAGGCAAAGACTATGAACAAATTCCCGATTGCTTAGAAACTATCACAAAGAATCAACAACTGGGATCGCATCTTATTCAAAAGCTTTTGCTCAGCTAGAAAGAAACCACCAACAAAGTGAAGAGACAATCTACAGTTTGGGAAAAAAAAATTTTGCCAGTTTTTCCTCAGACAAAAATATCTAGAATATATAAAGAACTCAAATATCAGACCCCTCAAATTTAAAGACCCAAACCAAAATTGGGCATCTGAAATGAATAGACACTTCTCAGATGAAGAAGTAGAAACAGCCAATAAATAATATGCTCAACAGCCAATAAATAATGGATCAGCATCATTGGTCATTAAAGAGATGCAAATTAAAACAATGCTGAAATTCCATTTCACTTCAGAAAAAAAATGGCTGTTATAAAGAAATCAACCAATAACGAATGATGGCAGGACTTTAGGAAAAAGAAACATTTCTTCCCTGTTGGTGGGAATGTAGACCGGTACAACCAATGGAAATCAGTGTGGAGATTCCTCAACACATTGGGACTAGAGGTTCCATTTGACCCAGTTATTCCCTTGCTTGGTATCTTCCCAAAAGAAACACAAGACTAATTTTGTTACTGAGTTGCGTAAACGTGGGTCTGTCTTACAGAAATAAATTCCAATATCATCTACAATGAAAATACCAATGGCATCCTACAAAAGAAATATTTATTTCAATTATCACACCTAAGGCAGCCTGCACACAACAACAGATACACTCACATCACATACTGACAGCACATGTCTTTCAGTGTCCCAGCCTTTCTATGGGACATGTTTCATATCTCAGAGGTCTTCCTGTTTGTTAGGAGTTTATTATATTATGCAGTGAGTGGCCAACAAGAACATAAACTATCAATAAAATAAATTACTAAAGTCTTACTATATATTGTGCATTTAGACTACACATCAACATTTTCACATCAGCTGTACACTTCCTGACAAAACCTAAAAGATAACATCAGAAAGAAATTCCTATATGAAAGCACTGATAGGACTCTATCACAAAAGTAAATTTTGCTTCAACCGTCATGCTCAAGGCCATTCACACGTGGCAACTTCATGTTCCATGCAACATCTCACTTACACTGACAGCACAGGTGCTTGGCTTTCCTTTCCTACATGGCAGTCTTCACACCCCTCTTCACTTCCTGTTTTGTCAGGAGCTTCCAACTCTGTCGGGCAACATGCACTTAGTAGGAAAATAAGATGTCAACAAAATAAACTACCAAGTATGTAATGAGTGAAATCAGCATTTCACATCAACTGCTTATTTGCTTACATAACCTAAAAGACAACATCAAAAATAAAAACTTATGTGAACTACAATGTAAACACAAAGGCCTCCCACATCAATAAACTTAATTTTAACTGTCACACCCAAGCAGTCTTCACACACGACAACTTGTGTTCCATACACAAGTGTTGCTTACACTGATAGGTTGCATGCTTTGATTTCCTGTAATTTCTTGTTTTTGTTTTCCCATTATCATAGGTCTTTGGGGCACGATGCTCCGCCTGCCTGTTCACCTGCCAATTCATCAGTGCACCATAATTTTTTTTTACATAGTTCCCTGGGCAGAAGCATTTAGTTTTTCCTTTGCTATCAATGTCTCTTATGAGCTCCAGTCCCAATCCTCTAAGAAAATTTCTCTACTGTATTTTGCACTTGCTATTTTCTTTGTAAACTATCAAACTATTTATTCCACATATGTTTAGGATCAAGTAAAACACAACCATTGGCAAATGCTTTGTGTTTCAAGTGACATCACAGGTGCTGCCTAACTCACTAACATCTATACCACATTTAGTTTTATTGTACAGTTTCCATCTCAGGCTTCAGTTTTGTCATGGTTTCTCTATCAATATTTCCATCATGGGGAGTGGGATTTAGCTCAGCAGCATAAGCTCCTGCCTTGGTAGCAGGCAGTCGTGAGTTCGATCCCTGGTACCCATAAAAATGAAAAAGACAAAAAAAAAATATTTCCATCATGGTGCAACATAGACATTAGCAATAGCAGTTTGCTTTTCTTTGCCATTTATGAAGCCAATCTTATTTCTTTCTGAAATTCAAAGATTGAACCATAGAATTCTGTTTTGAAATTGCAACATTTCCTTTGGAATTTCTGCTTTGTTCTTATATACAGTTCCTGCATCAACTTGTGCTCTGTTAGCAAAGATAACATGAATTGAAAACTGGTGGAGCAGTTGTCAAATGTCACAGTCCAATTAGTTTGAAAGATGGGGCAAGAAGTCTGTTCAGGTCTTGTGCCCCAAGGGTAAGCATCATGCCCCACCAATATGTGCACACTCATGTTTATAGCAGCACAGTTTGTAGTGGCTAAATCTTGGAAACAAGCCAATTGCCAATCAACTGATGGTTGGACAAAAAAGATGTGGATTTTTTATTCTGTGGAGTATTACTTGGCCACAAAGAAGGATATGCTTGAGACATTTCTAGTTAAATGGATGCACCTTGACATCTATACTCTTAAGTGAAATAAATTGGACACATGTATAAACACTACATTGTTTCTATGGTATAAGAAACAAAGTGTAAACAAAGACTTAAATGTTTTTGTTAATATTTTTATTGTTTTTTTTTTTTTGAGGCAAGGTCTCACTGTGTAGCCCAGGCTGGCCTCGAACTCAAGGCAATCCTCCTGCCTCAGCCTCCTGAGTGCTGAGGATTACATGTGTGTGCTACCACCCCCTGTGTACAATAGATACTGTGAAACAGGAAGAAAATATTCAGAATGGGAAGGGGAACGGAGGTGAGGGGAGGAGAAGAAAGGAAAAGAAAAACAATGAGAAAAAAAGGGAAAAACATGGAAACAGGTTTTTTGAGGGGAGGAGGGATTGAAGGGGTGTAGCAAAATGGAGAAAAAAAGAATCAAGTTACGGCTTTCACAGCTACAAATGCCCTATCACGACTGTGATAATTATGTGGGCCTAAAATGTACCAATAACCTTAATCACTAGAAAAGATAAATGTTTGTTCATGCTCAGTTCCGACACAATTCATTTGTAATACTTTTCAGTCCATGTTTGGTGGACTGAATGTGGAAGCCCAAGGTGTGAAAGACTGCCTGAATATTTATGGGGTGCAGTGTGCTTTTCAGATCCACGAAATGGCTAACTTTAGCCAGTATACATCTCACTTTTTTTTTTTTTTTTTTTTTTTGCATTGAGAATGCTTAAATTCTCTTAGCAATGTTGAAATGTCTAATACACTATCTATGGTTACCACGCTATGCAGTAGAACTCAAAATTTACCCTCTGAAGCCAGATGTGGGGACATAGGTTTGTAATCCCAGCAGTTTGGGAGACTGAGGCAGGAGGATCACGAGTTTGAAGCCAGCCTGGGCAAATCTGTGACTTAACAAGATCCTTCCTCAGTATGAAAGTGAGAAAGTCCACTTGCTGACTGTGTCACTTGACATGGTTGCTCCAAACCACAAGCCTGGAACAACCAACCATGCAGTCATGGGTTCAGGGAACAGCTGAGTGTCTCACAGTTGGTTATCACTGGTCACTCAGGAAGATGGCTGGACGTTGCATTTTGTGGCCTATTGCTAAAGTCCACAGGTGCATCCTGAAGCCTGAGTTTTGCAAGGCTGTGGGTGGGAACACATCCTGTTTTCCATCTCCTTGAGGTATAACGGCCCCTCTGAGCGTACTCAGTCTTGCCTCAGCCCTTAGCGTTTTGCGTGTCTGGTGAGCATAAAGAACAGGACCTTTCGTCAGAATACAGCTGGGCCTGGCCATGGGCCCACTGTGGCAGAAGGGCCAGGCAGCCTTCCCAGGCCAGGGGCTGTGGCTCCTGAGAACTGAGTGTACTTTCTAACCAGCAGTGGCAGAGGCTGCCATAGTCTAACTGTGCATCTGGGCTCACCTTGCGCCTGCCCAGAGGGAGGAGTCAGCTATACCTGCTGGTGAGTGAGGCAGATAGGCGTGGAGCTGGTGGGAGGAGGCAGCACGCCATGCATTCATGGGACATTTTGTGCAAGTGCACACTGCACAGAGATGAGACCACAGCCTGCTCAGGGTGGCTTTAGCAGACAACACACACACACACACACACACACACACACACACAGACACACATACACACACACAGAGCCAAAGCAAAATCAAAATTACAAAAACACCTTGATCAATCGACAGAGGCATATTCAAGATGTGAAGTCAGGGCTGCACTATTAAATCAGTCTGTGAAGCCCCTGAAGCTGAGGCGCAAGAGGGTAGATCCATTGCTCAAGGCTACATAGCCTTTAAAAACAGCAGTGCTAAAGTCCAAATGAGGAGAATAATGCCTAGGCCCCTTAAAAGAAATTTATTCAGTATCTGGGGGAAAAGCAAATACCATTAACAGGTGCCCAACAGGTGCCTGGGACGCCCTCAAACACTACACATACTGTCAGATGGGAAGGGCTCAAAGGCAGCCTGGGTGGGGCCCAGAGCTCCCTGCAGCAGGGAGGCAGCTGGATGTGTTCACCTAGGTCTGACCTTGCAGAGCAGCTGTGTGTCTTCCCCTCCTCCACCAGGACATGAGCAGGAACTTACATTTTGCTTCACTCTCTAGTTTTTTCCAGGAGTAAGACAACCCCAAGGCCACCTGACTGTCGCTTCTCTACTCACTTGCTGGGGCCAGAGGCCCAAGCAAGCATTTCTCCTTTGATGGATGCCACAGACCCCATGCCCACAGCCCAGGAAAGGTGCACTAAAGTGCTGCTGCATGTGTGTGTGTGTGTGTGTCTGCATGCATGCACACACACATGCGTGTGCTTCACCTGAATTCCCAGCAAGTACCAGAGTCCCCTTCTACATCCCACCCCCCAAAGGATTGACTAGGCCACCCAAGACATTGAAACCACACCACCATTTATTTGAGAAGGAAACATTTAATACAAAGAATTATCAACTATGCAAGGGAATTGTATCCAAAGAATTTCACAAAGTTTCCCGAGGTTGAGGGTACCTCCTTGATTAAAAAAAAAAAAAAAAAAACTTGAAAAGGGACCACTAGCCCAAGCAGGGGACTCTTTGCTGGAGAAGGTTTGGCCAAGGCCCCTGCAGGGTGACGTCCTCTGAGCCATCTGCACTAGACTCTGTGCCTTGTACAGATAGTGGCACCTTCCAGAAGGCACGTGGCTGAGGCACTGAACAGCACTCACAGGGAGCTGGGCCCTGGGAGCCCAGTGTCTGTGTCAGAAGGGCCATGCTGGGCCACCCAGGGCCTGCATATTGGGCATTGCCCTCAGATGTCCCATGCCACAGCCCGGCAGCCAGCTGTGCAGGAGGAGCAAGAAAGAAACAATCAGAAGCCCCTTCCTCCTCAAATGTCCCTCGGCACCCTCTGCTAATTCACAAAGTATGCCCTTCAAAGGAGCACCGTGCCAAGAGCCCGGCCCACCGGGGAGGGGCAGATGCCAATGGGCAAATCTGGACAACTTGCACATCTTGTAGATTCCACTTTTGCTTTTATTTAAACAATAGATCCTAACCACAGGGAGTCTGAAGGCGGCTGGGTGAGCAGATGTTCCTGTCTGGATAGTGCAATACCCTGGACTCCTGATACAAAGAAACTGTTAGGAGAGGGCTGCTCCAGGTGACCAGGTCACCTTCCTGCCCTCAGGCTACTGATAGAGAAAACCAATCCTTTCTGCTGGTGGGAAGGCAGCTGGTGTGAAGTCAGAATTCCCTTGAGGACAGCAGATGGCAAAGAGCACTAATATCAACTGACCCCTGCCAAGTGCCAGGCTATGGAGGGCTCAGCTGGGATTACCACCTCCCGCTGACCAGCTCTGCGAGCTTTTTCACAGTCTGCAACCCTGGAGCTGCCGAGGGACAGTCTCTTAGAAGATGCCAGGCAGCAGGCGATAGGGCACAGCGGCGGTGTAGCGTGCCCAGTCCCGGCCGTACTTGCTGGCACAGCGGTGCTCGTCGCGTAGACAGCGGTGAATCAGCAGGATGGCCATGTAGATGATATAGAAGTAGGGCAGGAGGTGGCTACCACCACAGGCCAGGCAGTAGGCCAGGCTGCCCATCAGGTCGCCCGTGTAGTTGAAGTGGCGGGCCACACCCCAGAAGCCCGACACCAGTAGCTTACTATGATGCTTCTGGCCATCGGCTGATGTGTACGAGCACTCGATGGCCTTGGGTTTCTGGCCCCAGATGAGGCAGCGCCCATCCGTCCTACGGAACAGGTCCTTCTGATGGTTGGTTATGCGGAAGATGTAGTAACCCAGCAGGCCGAGCCCCAGGATACCCATGGCGTATGGGGTGGAGAGCTGCACAGGGTGGTACACCAGGTATAGGCCCTGGGAGAGAAGGACATGGTGAAGATCTGCCACAGCACACAGGGGTAGGAGCATGGACTCAGGAGTCTAGTGTAAGTCCTGCCTCAGCCTCCTTCTCTGTAAATAAAAACATCTACTCCAAGGGTTGCTGTGCGCCTCAAGTGCACAAATATGCAAATATGCCTATGTATCCACCTGCTACCTGCCCTCTACTCCCTTTGTGTACACACACACACACACACACACACACCTGTGATATATGAATATATATATGTATATATATATTCCCATGCACGTGCTCAACTTACAATGGGGCTAAGTCCTAGTAACTTCATTGTAAGTTGGAACTAGGATAAATCAAATTGCATTTAACAGCTGGACATGGTGTTGGATTCCTATAATTCTATCGCTCTAGGAAGCTGAGACAGGAGGATTGCAAGTTTGATTGCAAGTTGAACCCACCATGGTACCCACTTGGTAATACCTTGTCTCAAAATAAAATAAAGGGGTTGGGGAAATAACTCCGTGAGAAGGCCCTGGGTTCAATTCCAAGTCACACACACACAGACACACACAGCATGTAATACACCTAGCCTTCTGACCGTCCCAGCTTAGCAGCACAGCACATGGAGACCATGGCTGCTGTTGCCCTAGGGCTCATTTGGCTGAGTGAGATCAGCAGCAGCTGCCTCAGCCAACAGTGAGAAAGCGGATCACACAGCATACTATATTACCATCCTAGGATAAGATTAAAACTCAGCATTTCAAGTACATTTGTAAAGATAATGCATATCACTGTCACATCAGCATAAAGTCAAAAAATTATTGAGTTAAACCACCGTAAGTTGAGGATTGTCTGTATATCATATGCAATGTAAATGTAAAATATATAACCTAGTACTGTATGTAAAATTTAATTTTAATATACACGGTGCTGGTCAGTTTCAGCTGCCTACTGGGGTAGGCGGCTGTATCCAAATATTTAGTTAAACACTAGCTGTTGCAAAGCTATGTTTATTTGGATGAGATTAATATTTAAAACAGAGCAGATAACTCTCCACGATGTGGGTAAGCCTTGTCCAATCAGATGGTAACCTTAAAAGAAAAAAACTGATTTCCTCCAAAGCAGAAATTCTGCCAGAAGACAACCTTCGGCAACCTTGAACTGTAGTATCAACTTTTCCCTGGGCCTCCAGCCTATCCTAAAGAGCCAGACCCCAGCATCACAGGAGCCAAAAAATAAATAAATCACACTCACATACAAATTCCTATTAATTGTTTCTCTAGGGAGTCCTGATATAGTTTGAAAAAATGTGCATATTTAATGTATGTAATTCAATGCTGTCTCTTGGTATTTAAGCGTGAGGGCTGGTTCCAGGCCACCCTGAACAGATAACCAGATATAGTATTTGCATAGAACCTAGAAACACACTCTTATATTCTTTAGACCACCTCTAAATGATTTACTACACCCAATATGTGGTAAATCCTATGTAAATAATTGCTATACACTATTGCTTATGGACAGCAAGAAGAAAACAAAGTCTATACCTGTCAAGCATAGATACAATTTTTTAAAAGAAAATACTTTCAGTCTGTGGTTGGTACGGAGCTGTGGATACAGATGTTAACTACACAGCAGGCTGAAACCAGGCTTGGGCCACAGTGAGAGTGTAAGATCTCATCACAGCTTTACATGCCTGGAAACATGGCCCACAGACCCAGAACACTAGCAAGGTTTTAGTCAGCCAGGTGGGGAAACAAGTCAGGCTGGGCAGCTCAGAGCCTCAAGAATCTACCGTTACGGTGCACGTGGGGCTGCATGTGGACCCTTTGCTCCTTCGCACAAGAGGCCAAATCCCACAGCCGTGTCATCACCATCCTCATTAGCCATAACTCTCCTTTCCTGGTTCATATTCTGAGCAGCAGCTGAGCTCTCACACTGGCCTTCTTTCTTCCCCTATAACCTTTCTGGTAGCTCCCAAATCTGCAAGGGCTGCTCCCACGTACATGGCAAGGATCTGGTGGCCAGGACTCTCATGGCACCCCTCTGCCTCCAGGACACTTCCCTGCCAGGCAGCCCTGTGTGATGCCGGCAGGTCCCAGGACCAGGAATGAAGTGCAGACAAGTAACCACATTGACCACCCTGCAGCTCTGTCCAGCCTGACTAGGACAGGGACTGCTTGCCTGGACTTTGCAGAGATGACTGGGGACATGATCTTGGCTACCTCCCCTGGCTGATGGTCCAACCAAGGAGCAATCCCAGGTCCTGTTGACACCCTGAGCAGACCACAAATGGTCCAGCCTGACTGATGATGGCTGGACTTAGGATGGAGTGAAAGTCATCCACAGCTACTGTAAAAGCTGTTTACGCTCAGTGCAGGGCCCAGCATATCATAAGAGGTTGCCAACATTCAGAACAGACTTTGTGTTAGATGACTGCCCAACTGTGAGCTACGGTATGGTTAAGAGAGGCAAAGTCCAGCAATCTCTGATAGGTTTTTGCCTTTTGATATTTTGAACATACAAAGGGTGTTTAGGACATAACCCCATCATAAGCTAAGCAGCATCAGTGCTACACAGAGCCTTCTCTTCTTCTTAAAAACAGGGGGTAGCCTGAATGACATCCAAGGATAAAAGTTTCTGCAACGAGAAAAGCTTAGCATGGGGTACAGTGTCTGCTCAAGGTCAACTCGGGGTGTCCTGAGGCCTGGGGGCCACAGGCCCGGTCACCATATCCCAGAAAGATTTGCCCTGCCGCCCTCGCCCCCCTCACCTGCAATGTGTACAGAAAGGGCAGCCACACACAGTCGCCCCAGCCCAGGTACCAGCCGAAGTGGTCATGGCAGATGTCAATGGTTTTCAGGTACCAGGTTTCGTTCCAGAAGAAGTCCAGCACATAGATGGCCTGTAAGACAGGAACTTCCGGTTACCTCTGTGGTCCCCTGGCACTCATCTGGGGCTTCGGAGAGTGACCCAGCCTGCACGTGTAGGGGACAGCAGTTGGGTAGCTGCTGAATGACTTCCCTGATGGGCACACTGAGCTGTTCCTGCATTCTCTGCCATGCCATGATGGGGAGTCCATCAGAGGACAAGCACAGGCACACACAGGCAGAAGCACAGGCACACACAGGCACACACACAGGCAGAAGGGTTCCTAGCCATGTCCCTGGGAGCCAAAGTTCAGGGCCATGGAACTCAGCTCAGAGCAGAAGAGCTTGGGAACACTGCCCAGGGAGGCAGCTCCAAGTGCCACAGTCCACAGTGTGAAAAGCCACTGGCTGAGTATCCTGAAGTTTAACCCACTGACTGCCCTTAGCACAACACATATTACATGTCTTTATGACCAGTGACTGTTGTGCCTCTCAGGACCAACAAGACTGATGGCCACTCACAGAGGTGGACAAAGGCATGAATCGCTATCAACACTCCTCACCCCTCAGTGAAGGACAGATATTATAGAGGTCATTTACTGGGACTGGCTGGGACCATGAGTGACCTTCTAAAGAGGCCAGAGCCATGCTGCCAGGACCAACAAGATGCTCATAGTGTTAACAGGTGTCCCGTGGGCTAAAAGAGTGAAATTCTACATATGGCACTCTTTTTCAGAGAGGGAGCAGCACCCTAGCACATGACCTGGAATGGGCCCATGATGTCCACCCACAGGCTCTGCTGTTCAGGGCTCAGGTGTGCTGGACAGTTAATCCAGCAAAGCTCATCCCCAGGCTTCTGTGGCAGTCAGCTCCCTGCCCTAGTCCTTCCTTCTCCCTGGCACAGAAGGAACCACAGAGGAAGAAGACTACAGGAGACCACGTGGCAGCCGCTCCAGAAGGGAAGTCCCTTCTTCATCATCCATTAGATCACAAATTCATCGAGGCCCAGGCCTGGGTGTCCCACCCAGCCTACATCCTAAGGTCCTGGAGTAGCACCTGCCACAGACAACCTACATACCAGAGTTCCTGGAAGATGTGGATTCACGCACCTGAGGCCCACCTCCCAGGCCAGCATCCAGGTCACCCAGCCTGGGCCATGTCCTTTGTCCTGCGTGCCCTCCTTTACTCTTGGGGCCCACTTAGCAGTTTCCACTCAGCAGCCAGCAACCATCTCTAGCCCATATCATTACTGTCCTGCTTGGGACACACTCCTAGGATCTCTTTGTTTTTGACAAAAAAATGAAATTTCCACAAGGACCCAGATGGCCCATCCTTGAGTTCCCAAGCGCTCTGCTCAGGACACAGTCCCTTCCTCGGTTTCCCAGACTTGCTGTCTCTCTCAGGATAAGGGTGTTGCACAGACTGCTCGTTCTATCCAGAGTACCCCTCCTACTTCTCCTCCTTACCTGGGAACCCCTGTGCCTAGATCCCACCTGAGTATAATCCCCAAGGAGAGCCCCCAGACTGTCCTGCTGGGCACACAATGAGGGATTCTCCCACTACACGCTCACCGTGAGGCCCAGGAAGGTACAGACTCTAAACAGCAAGGGATTAGAGACAGAAAAATCTGCTGGCTTTGGAGTTTTCCTGACAGGGAAGCGTCAGAGCCTCCCTGCTCTGGCTGCAAACAGACTTTACCTGCAGGACATTGACCAGGACCATGGAGTTGGTCACCTGACCATACAACTCCTGCTGCTTCGCTGCAAAGGACAGGTTGATGAGGGTCCATGCCACAATCCCAGGGCGCCCATTGAAGAACAGCTTGAAGTCAAACCACTTTCCAATCCGAGGGTTAAACTCAATGCCCATCATGTAGTTGTAGAAGAAGTTGCCTGTGAATTTACTGAAAAATATAAGATATATTTAGGCAAGGAGTACATCTCACCGGAAGTAGCCCACCTCGCCACTGTGGGCCCTCAGCACGGGCCCATGAGGTCAATGAGGTCACTTAGTGAAGACTTGCCTGGGGCACCAGGGGATGCTTCTGCACCTGCCCACACCCCCAAATGCTCCAATAGTCTCCCTGTGTGTTCACTGTGGCTCAACAGGGTTGAGTGTGTAAATTAATTGCCTGCTGTCCCTGGGAAGACTGGGGAACCGTCCTTGAGTGGCACCAAGTCTCTTTCACCCTTCTCCACGTGCCCTCCATGCAGGCACAGGTGAACAGTAACACTGGTTTAATCAGACAGAGGTTCCATTCTGCAGCCCACATAGGTGCAAAGACACAAGTCATCTGGCCCTGGAGCCAACGAGGTCACCAATCATGCCACAGTTAGAGAATGAAAAAGGCATGACACTCCAATCTGGATGCCTGAGCCCCAATGCTCACAACTCTTCCTTGCTGGAACCATTATCACCTTGATCCCACATGCCACCCCAGGGAAGGGACAGGAAATCAGCTCAGAAGATCCACGTGGAGACACCCTGCTAGGGTACAACTTGCTATATATACCTAGGTATTTGTCTATTTACTAAAACATCAATTTTATGTTTAGCTACTCCAGTTAATCTAATTGGAAAAAAGCAAAATATATAAAGTTTATAACCATTGGTAAGTACCAGGCAGTTAAAATGACCTGTAGGTGCCATAAAAGGAGGTCAACCTCGTTACTTGCTAACATATAATCCACACAGTACCTGCACCCAAAGACATTTTCCAAGAGCCTAGACATAGCAGCTAAAGGAAACACTTGTTTTTATTTGGTCTCCAGATGGAACTGTGAGCCCCACTACCTCCAACTATCTACAGCCTGTTAATGGACAGATGGTAGATGAATGGAGGGAAAGAGGGAGAGAGGGACAAGGCAGGACAGGAGGGCTGGGTGACCACTGTCCTGCCCAAAGCTTCCGTAAGAGAATGAGAATCAACCAACTAGGTTCTGCTGGGAAGCAGTTACCTTAAAGCTACTGAGATAATGAGACTCTTCACTACGGATACTCCAAAGGCGCAGGCAAGGGGCTGTTCTCGTCCCTAGCCAGCCTTGTCTGTCTGGCTTCTCTATCCCCATGATAGACATGTACAGACAGGTAATGACTTGGCTACCAAAGACAGACTCAGTGAGCTTCAGCTACATTCTTTCCAAGGCAAGAGAAATCGCAGCCATTTCAGAAGGACATTTTCCAGATCCAGGCAAGTTCTATCCATCCCCTCCTTCGGAGCTTCCCACCGTCCCCTCCCAGGGCAGCAGACACAGGTCAGAGCAGAGGCATCCACTTCCCTTTCTGGCTTTGACCAGCTATAAGGACATACCAGTCTTTGGCATTGGTCGGGAAAAGATAGCCCTTGATCATGACAAACGTGGACACAGCATAGCCAAGGATGTTGGCACACCACAGCAGCGGGATCCAATTGTCAAAGATGATGGTGGGCGAGAACCAGAACAGGAAGCGGGAGTTAGCAAACCAGAGGAGATGTGTAATGAGCCAGGCTTGTAGGCCATTGACCTGATACTTGTTGACAACTCCTGCAAAGGGAAGGTTTAAAAATCAAAGCGCTCGCCTGACCTGGATTGGGTCACCTGGCCTGGCTGTATGCACCTGGCTCAGGTCCTACTTGTTCCATAGTCCTGTTTCTGCAGACCCCTGCCTAGAGCATCTGGGCACCATTCCAGAAGCCTCCCTGGCTCACAGCCCTTACAGTGGGTGGAAGGGCTGACTGCTCCTGCCAAGTTCTGTGAGCCTCTTGTTCTCACTGTTCCCAACCACCACTGCCTGAGAAACAGGTGTGCAGCTTGTTAGTGAGGTGGGGTGAGTGGCAGGAGCAGAGTTTCCCCCGGTTATTTTTTGTTAGCAGAGTTGGGGTTGGGATTCCTATCTGCAACTCTATGTGCACGTGAAGCTAGGCTCCTCAAAGGTTCTCAGTGTTGAAAAAGGAATGGGTTACGGTGAAAGTTGGGTTAGGGTTAAGATTAGAGTCAGGTTAAGGTTGCAGACAGAGCTAGAAGTGAGGCAGGCAGTTCCCTCCAGACCTGGAAAACTGGTTTACAGCCTGGGACACTCTAGATGCCATATCTCACCTCAAGACCTGGTGCTATGAAAGATTTCTGAGCTAAACTCATTTGATCTTGTGAGCAGTTTATGGAACACATATAACCCGGAGGGCTCGGGACCCACACTTGAAGCCCCAGGCCAGCTGTGCCAAGATGCCCACCAGCCTGAGAGCAAGGCCCACTGTAGGGGAAGACATGGAATCGGTTACCTGCAGGTGTCACTGCTCCCTCCTGAACTCCTCCCACGTAGCGTGGCACAAATTTGTGGCAGAAGTCAGGAAGCAACATGTACAGAAGCACCTGAAACACACGATTGGGGGCCAATGGTTGGTGGCCTGCAGAGCACAGCTGTTTGTTTTGACCTGGCTTGGTTTTTATCTGAAGCAGAGCAGGAGCAGAGACAGGAGCACCAGAAGAGCTCATAATTCCTGTTGCCTGGGCTGCAGAGGAAACAAAGTTTCCTCATGTGCAGGAAACTACTTTACCACCCACAATGCAGAGCCTTCTCCAGCCATAGCCTAACATCCCCTTAGGAGAACACACTGGTTCTTCCCTGGCTCCTTCTGGGGGATGTTTGGAAAAGCTTGAAGATACAGTTTGCACCCTATAAAAACTGCCCTTCCAGAGTGTCCAATGCAGTGGCATTTGATGTACTTATAAGACTGAGCAACTAGTTCCAGAACTTTCTCATCACTACAAAAGAGAAACCCTATCCCCAGTAGCAGCTGCCCTCATTCCTTCTTCCCCCAAAGTCCTGACAACCACTGATCTTTCTGTCTCTATGGGTTTGCCTATTCAGGATATTTCACATAAATGCAATCACACAAGAGGTGTCTTCTGTGACCGCCTTTCCCATCTCAGCATAACCCTTTCAAAGCTCATTCACACTGCAGTGTGTATCAGAACCTTACTCCTTTTCACAGCCTAGTAACAACCCACAGATGAACAGAATATCCACTTTTTAACTAGCCCTCTACTGACAGATAACTAGGTTGTTCCCACTCTGGCTTCTGGAATAGAACTGCCCCTACCACTTCTTATCCAAAGCACCAAGAGACCTCAAGGGAAGGCATCTGTAGCCCAAGAGGCTGGTCCCAGGGAGAAGCAGTGGACTCTAGTGCAAGCCTTCCTGCCAGAGGCCTGACGCTAGCTAGGTTCAGACACAAACTCTACTAAGTCTGGCCCAGCCCCTTCCTGCTGACCTCCTACACCAGGACTACATAGCAACATGCTGGGAAATACTAGTTTTGGCTTTGTTGAATGGGAGCCCTGTTCGTGCTAGCTGGTGTAGGATCTGGTCCAACTGTGTATGGAGCTTCCCTGGGAGACCTGTGCCCTGCACACAGCCTGTCCTTAGTCCACAGCATGTCTCAGCAGGGGTGGACACACTCTCAATCCCAGCAAGGCAACCCGACACTGGGATGCCGACAGGTGCTTCCTATCCTCCCGCTGATGTAGCATGAAGCATGTATGATTCCAGGTAACACCCTGCTGAGGTGTGTGACTGTCCATCCAACCCAGGACAAAGGCAAGACAATGCTGTAGGTGGGCATGCTCCCCAAGGGCAGGAGAGTGGAAAGTGACTGACCTGGAAAGTGACCCACTGACCTGGAAAGTGACCCACAAAGTGTAGATCTGGACAGCCTTCATTGTCATGGGTGGGGTCTTGGCCCAGATGTCTGCGAAACTGACACGACCAGTGATTATGTTCAGTGCAGGGGTGGTCAGAGAGCAGCTGTACTGGTCACATGCCATGATGAAGTAGTACACAATGAGGGGTGCGAAGAGCAGCAGGAAGATGACGCTGGCCAGGGAGAACCAGTCCACTTCCCTGCAAGGAGGATGAGAGGGTCACAGCAGGGCCCAGTTGTCCTCTGAGCTCACAGAGAACCCACAGAGGTCCTTATGTTTGGGACATGTTCACATAATCCAGCACCTTAGAAAACTGGGTTGCTGGGTGTTTGTCAAAAGCTCCCCACTGCAAGAGAGGCCTCCAACCTGCTACTCTTCCACCTGCCAGAGCAAACAGACTGATCTGTGGGCAACTGTGCAAAGCCCAGTTCACAGATACAGGGGCCTTCATGACCACCAAGGCCAGTGGCTTCCTTAGTCCAGCCCAGCGAGGAAGATCAGTCCCCACAGATGCTCATGCTGTTCACTGAACCAAGAATCAAGACAGCAGTGAGGACACCTTCAGTCCATACTCTCTTTTCTCCATTGCTGGTGACACAGGTTGAGCACCCCTAATCCCCAAATGCTCCAAAATCTCAAACCTTTTCAGCACTAACCTGATGCCACAGGTGGAAATTTTCACACTTGACCTCAAGTGACAAGTCACAAGACATAGGAACGCTAAGAAAATGGTAACGCCTTATCTTCAGGCTATGTGTGTAAGGGGTTCATAAAATATAAATTACTTTTGCATTTACATTCAGGTCCCTCCCTAAGATGCCTCATTTGCATATGCAAATTTCTCCAACATCTGAAAACAATCAGAAACGTGATCCATTTCTGGTCTCAAGCATTTCAAAAGAGGGCTACTCAACTTACAATGGTTTCCAGTTTCATTTTATTTTTTTAAATTCCTCTTTGAATTTTTTACTTTATAAAGTAGACAACCTTTTATCTTTCGTAACTGACAATAAAAAAGAATTTAAAAAAAACAAACAGGTAAATAACATCTCCAGGGCTGAAAACCTTTGAGACTCTTTTTCACTTTCTAGTTAGGAGAAAGGGGACACCCTTACCAGGCACGGCCCCACTGTCCTTGAGGTTCAGCCTTGCCGTTGGTGATGCTTCCTGGGTTCCCAATTTTGGGAGCGCTGGGCTGGGATTTTGAAGCCATTGGGCACTGAGAGAAAGAGAAACTTTGCTCAGATCTTTCCAGAGAAACAAGTCCACGTTCTTGCTGCATGCTGCAGGGTTTGGGTGTCGTACTGCGGGCCTCCTGCACATACCTTCTCAGGACCTTTACCTGAAAGTACATTCCAAGACAGGAAGAGAGCTTCCTGCCCTACGCTATCTCCAGAGCCTGTGATCTAGGCCCATCTGGCCTTTCCATGTCTGCTTTCTTTCCTCTGCCCCGGGTAGATGAGGTCTTTACTCACCCTTGGGTACCGATCACTTCATCCTGGGACCTGCTATTTCCTTTGCTTTGAACGTGTTTGCGGGTGGCCCTGTTTAGGTCTCATATAAAGTGTCCACTCTGCAGTGGACCTCCCTTCCAAAGCCAATCAAAAGCAGCTCCTTTCCAGATTCCCAGTGAAGGCATATAACCTGTTTACTCTAACTTCTGAGCAACTCTCCATATCATGTAGAATTGTTTTATTTGTGTTCGTATGGACTTTGTGTCCTCCTCTACTAGAAGACAACTTCCTGGGGGCAGGCATTGTATGTCCTGCTTAACACTCAACCCCTAGGACCTTGAAGAGTATCTCAGTAATCACCCTACCAAAGGAAGGAGGAAGGAAACAAAACTTCTCTAGGTACCACTGTTGCTTTAAATGGTTATAATTTGGGGGATGCAATGATGCACCCACTTCCAAAACTCAGGTTTATAAAACTCCAAAATATAGGGAATTTTATAAAGATGAGTTTGAGCCAGGCATGGTAGTGGACACCTATAATCCCAGCAATCTGCCAGGCTGAAGCAGGAGGATTACAAATTTGAGCCCATCCCAGGCAATTTAGTGACTTAGTGAGAACTTGTCTTGAAAATTTCAAAAAGGGTTTGAGATGGCCCTGGGATCAATCTCCAGTACCACTCACAGACACAAAAAGATAATCTTGAAAGCTTTCCAAGAAAGCCAGGATTAAGCAACACAGTAACTCTGAAATTTTCAAGAGCAAGCTAGATCCCATATGACAACAGAACACCTCAAAATTCTAAGGGAAGCTTTCTCAACCTAGGATTCTAGCACCAGGTTAATTTTGTTTTCAGGTTTTTTTTTGTTTTGTTTTGTTTTTTGGTAGAATATGTTTGTGGTACATAATGATTACATGCCTCATGGGGAGTTGGGACATGCACATAATACACCTGGATGGACAAGTGCCATGCCTGTCTGTGAGACACAAAGCTTGGCACAGAACACAAAACCTGGCATAGACAAAAGAAAAAGCCCCCTAACAAGTGTTCATCCTGCAGTAACACTGGTTGGGCCAGATTGCTTTTTTTCAGTACTGGATACTGAACCCAGGACCTTCACACTAAACTAACCCTCTAGACCTTTTGTGTGTGTGTGTGTGAGAGACAAGTTCTCACTAATTCACTCTTTCCCACACTGGGCACAAACTCGTGATCTTCCTGCCTCAGCCTCCCAGAGTGCTCTGATTATAGGCATGCATCACTGCGCCCAGCCCCAGCTTGCTTTTGACACTGTGTCTGCCTGGCAGCTTTCACAATGCTTCTTACTGAGCAAAAACACCTACACCTTACTTGAGGTACAACCCTATTCACCATCCCCAACCAAACACATACCAACCTAATCATCTCTGATCTCTGGTTTCCCCATTAACTGTGTGAAACGTGAATGCCTTAAAGAAAATCACCAGGAGACTGGCACTCTTTCCAACTTAAGGAATAGGTTATTCCAAGAAGATAGACCAACATAATCCTTTGATTATCTAACAAAAGGGCTGTGAAATATATATACTCACAGGAGAATGCTGCCAAGAGATTAAAAGAATTAAAATAAAAACAAAGCCAGGCATAGTGATAAACACCTGTCAAATCCTGCCTAAGTAACTTAGTGAGATCCTCTCTCAAAAAAAGTTTAAAAAACACCTGGGGAATGTAGTTCAGTGCAAAGGCCCGGGTTCAATCCCTAGTACTATCTATCTATATCTATATCTATATCTATATCTATATCTGTATCTATATATATATAAAGTTAATGTTATAAGCTTAATCATAGTTCAAGCTCTCAGGTTTTTCTCTTCTGTCACATGTACTGAATTCTGTAATTCACACACAAGGACCAGCCTCCCAAAATGTAGCTGGGTAGAGAGGAGGGGGAGAACATTTTATTTTATTCCTAAGAACCCCAAAGAGCAAGTTATAGCTGACACCCAGGGCACCAGTTTGTTCTTACTTTTCAAAGTTGCAAGGTAACTGCCTGTGCCCATGCTCAAAAGTGGTATGGGTAACACTCTCACCTCTAACCTCTGGCCTGGTGGCTTCACAGCAGAATGAAGTTCCTTTCTTGAACTGGTGTGTAACAGCTTCCAGGCTCTTAAGTTTCCAAAAGGCTGCTGCTGGATCCCTCTCCACAAGCTGTGCAGGCCCCTGCAGGGAAAATGGAGATGCTAAAGACCTCAGGGCTGACCCTCGAGAGTAGAGGTTACCTGGCCTCTGTGATAACCCTCAACCGGACTCAAAGAAGGGTTCAGACTCGGAGAGGCCCCTCTGGGGTGAGGAGTGTCAGGCAATCTTGCCATGGAGTTTTTGTACCTGGTTTAATGGTAGGCAAATACTGAGGACTACACTGGTGATGGGTATCTGTGGCGTCTGTTCTGCCTTTGCAGAATGCAACGTGGGCTTGATGGGGGGGGGGGGGCTCCAGCACATAGGAAGGAAGGTGACATGGTGTTTGATTTTACTTTGCTCACTTAGCCTGAAGCTGTAAGCTAAAATGAAGTTCTCTTGCCTTTTTCTTTCCCCCATTCTCTGGCCTGTGAGTTAATTTAGGACATCTCAGAATTCTGTTCTAACACACTTGGGAGAGGGGTTGGGGAGGCAGCTAGGAAAATGCATAGAATTCCGTAGCTACTTTAAGGCCCCAGGTTGACTTTTGAGTTCTGCAAATATAAACTAAAGGGATTCTGTTCCTGAGATGACTCAGCTCACATCAGCTTTTTTGATTTGGAGACACAGAAGAGGCTGCGAGTTCCCAGAGCAATCAGTTTCCATTTGTAGGATGTCACCACTTAGATAATCCAAGATATATGACTGTGGGCAATTACCTTGAACTGGCTATGTATCAGTGGCCTCCTCCGCAAATTAACTATGTTGCCTACTTTGTTGGGTGAGAAATAAGTAAGATTATGAATGCCAAAATGATCAGGGCCACATGGGACCAGCCCTCCAAGCATTCACCTAAGAGCTAGCTCTCAGCTGCACAGCTCTCAGCTCTATCAACAGGCCAGGAAAACCACAATGATGAGCTGCACAGCATTCTGGTTGGCAATCACATAGCAAACACTGGAGCTCAGTGGCTTCAAACAAGTTTTTCTATCATCTCTCGTGATTCGAATGGGTCATAAATTGGGGGCCAGATGGTCAGGACAACAATGGATTGGGCAAGGAATGTTGGAGGAGACTCACACAATGCAGTCAGCTGTGTGCTGGGGCCCCTTTCCCTCTGTTTCCTAGGTGGGTGGACTTGAGCTTCTCACAGTGCAGTGGTCTCAAGGCCATATTGTGATACATTCAGTAGAAAATCTCCAGTAAAATCTAAATGAGGATATTGAGAACTAACTTTTTGGGTTCTACACTGAAGATTATTCTAAGGGCCTTCCAAATAGGAACACATTTACTTAGTTGGAACAGTATGGGAATAGCAGAAAGTCTAATTTCTCAGGCATGGTAGGGAAGAAGAAATATAGATGTGCCTCAAATAGGTTTTCAAGATAAAAAGAATGATACAACTAGAAATGGGCAAAGTGGGGCTGGGGAGGCATCTTGTATGAGAATAGTTTTAGAAGCCAGGTAGCTTCAGATGGTGCTCAGGCACATACTAGCAGGAATTTATCAACAAAATATATTCAGAGGGTTAAACAGATGCTAGAACTTCCGTGAACCTGTGTATACATGTGCAAAATAATGAAAACAACTAAATGACAATAAACAAAAAAATCACAAGCAAGGACACCTCTGCAGAACACTCAGCAGCTATAAACACAAACAAGGTCACTCTACAAGTAACAAGAAGACCCAGCCAGCCTATCATGTCACAGCAAAAGGGCAAGTGACAAAATAGCAGAGCATTTAAAAGCTGCAAACCACAACCTTAAACAGCATTGGAAACAGGGTGTTTATTTTCTATTTTTTTCTTTTTCTAATTTTTTAGACATATGTTTACATGATAAAATAATTTAAGGAAACAACAAAAACTTTTCCTGGGAATATCTGTGGCTCTAACAGGGGTCACTGAAGTCATCCAGACCTACAAGCTGGTCAGGCTGGCTTTTGGGGTGACCCCTGGGTTTACCTACAGCTTTTCTACCCATGTCCCCACCACACACACACAAAGCTAGTGATTGCAAAGCTGTCTTTGCTAAAAGCTCACTCTGCCCTCCACGTATGACCAGCCCAGTGAGTTCCAGGGTGGCTCTGGGGCTTCATATACCTAGAGGGTGGGTGCCCCTGTGGGAAGTAGTGGTATTTGAAACATTCAGAAACTCGCATGAACCCCATAAGGAAAGAAATGCCCAGAGATCCTAGTTTCTAGTTTTCAAGGGTGAAATCCAGTTAATTGAAGCTACAGGGTTTCTGCTTTTTAGAAGTCACAAAATATACGCTCACCAGGAATTTCTAAGTCATGCATGGGGGGGTAAATCTTTTCTCTTTCCTTCGATCCATCCCAGATGTCATTAAACTGTGGTGGGTATTCTTTTAGAGTATTCTACAACTGTTTTAATCATTAATATACATCCACTCCAAGGTGGCACAGGAGAATTCTCTTCACTTCCCAGAAACAATAATGCTTGATTATTCCTGATATTTGGTTCTGCAAACCATCCTGGCTTTAGGAGGAAAAGGTGTCCTGCAAGTGGAATCGCCATAGACGACTAAGATATTTAGAAATATCAAAGGCAGTCAGACAGGAGTAGGCTCCTGGAACAAGTCAGTGCAAAAGGGGATTTTATGGAGTAAAACTCCATAAAACTGTGGCTGTAGTTGAAGGTCAGACCTCAAAATAAAGAGAAATAACTCACCCACATACTTCCCTTGGGAGGACTGGCAGTGATTGATACTTTAAATAGGCATCAATCACCTTGGATGTAGGACCAAACCACTCTAGCCCTTTCCTCCCCAGAAAGCCCTTTTTCCCTCGATGCAGGCTTGCTACATGACTTGCTTCCCCATTTGATCTGCATTTAATCAATATCACCTCCATGACCACACCCCTAATCTTATTGTTTGACTATAACTTTATCCCACCTTATACCCGCCTTGTGATTTTCCATTGGATCAATATTACCTATGCGACCACACTTGTAATCTTATTGGTTGACTAGCGCGTTTTGTTCCACTTTATACCTCCCTCATCTGGTGGTTTTACTCCATAAAATCCCCTTGATAAGCAGGTTCCCCGGGGCCAACTGCTCGGGATCCCCTTTTGTCCCTCTTAGAAGCTTCGTTCTCTCAATAAATACATCCTACTCTTAACCTTCGTTGTTCCTAGAATTCCTTCACTTGATTTTAGAGACCACAACCTTGGTGTGTATCACATATCTAGCAGGTAGGGAGTTGTAGTTCCTTTATATTTGGATTATTTTGAGGCCCTATATTACATGCTCTATATCAGAATAACTTACTGTCCTTCTCAGGCTAGTCTCTGTCACCAACCTGGGAACCTCCAAGAACCCTGGAGCTGTCCAAGTCACCATCTGGCCTCTCTGTTCCCCAAGCTTCCCGGGTACGCCACTCCAGCTATCCAACCCATGTATTTCTTGGGAGAATGGAACTATTTAAGTTTTGGTAAGGGAGTCACTGAATCGGGTCCAGAGGGAAAAGGTCACTACGTAAGGCACCGGGTGAGCTAAGGAGCGCCCCGCTCACTGAACACGGGCAGCTCCCCATCCGTGAGCTGGACCCGCCTCCTTCACACCCGCGAGCCCCACCTCTGCTCCCGTCTGCCTCCTCCTTGCTCGCAGGCGCCTCCCGCCCACCTCAGCAGCCATCTCCGTCCTAACCGGCGTCCACGACCCCACCTAACATGTGCTCACGTCCGCCTCACACACCTATCTGCAGGGGTCCCCTGCCCACCTCAGCAGCCATCCTCATCCTAACCGGTGGACACGACCCCCAGCTGTGCACACCCACCCACTCACCAGTGCAGCCACCGCGCTCCGGTGGACAAGAGCCAGCTGCAGGTCCCAAGCCAGTCTCGTCACGTTGTGTGAGGGCTAGGTCCCGGCCGCGAGAAGACGTAGTACGATAGACTACCAATAGGAGGAGGATCTTGCGCGGTCGGCCGCCCTGCACCCGGCCATTGGACGAGGCATCTGAGCTGACCGCGGACCCACCGCGCGCGCCACTAGGTGGCTGCAGATCCGAGATTGACATCCCGAGCCCGCCCTTAGCCCCGCCCAGGTCTCCGGAGGATGCGGGGTGTCAACCTGGGGCGCCTTTGAGATGTGCCGGGGCGGTGTGGGGGTTGGGAAATCGAGACAAGACTGAAGAAGCCAAGTGGGCTGCGCTGAGAGTGAACCAGATTCCTACATTTACTGGCTGAGTGGGTGTGAGACCCCCGGAGCCTCTGTTTCTGCCTCTCAAAGGGCTCTTGACACTTAATGCAGGAGCTGGAGTGTCCAGCAAAGAGCAAAACAGACGAAATCCCTGCTCTTGCCGCTAACGTACTCGAGGAAGCGGATGTGCTATAAATACATAAGTAAATATAGAGATGAGGGGCGGTGAAAAACGATACAGAGAAAGACAAAGCAGGTTAAGGAGACCGGACAGTGGCAGGGCGGTTTTACGTAGGGGTGTTCTGGAAGCTCGCTGCCCTGGCTGGAGACCTTCCCAGGACCTGGAGCTTGGGGTAGGATGCTTATAAGGGATCACAACGTGGGGACAGGGGAGGGCGAGGCAGTAGGATTGAGCAAAGGGTAAGCTGACCAGAGTGCAAGCCAGACCTTTTGTGCTGTGGGGAAAAGGTCCCCAGAACCCTAATCACAGTAACACCATTTTGTAGTAGGCTGTCAGCTGTCTTGTGGGCTCTGCCAGGTGCTGAGGCCAGCCTGCTAGACTCCAGCACAACAAGGTCATTCGTCACAGCCTTGACAGTGTTAGCTGAGACCAGTACAATTCCTAATCAGGACGGAAGTGGAATAAACATTAGTACGTATTTCTTCTCATGAACTCTGGTTTTCCTTCTGGGTTTTTTGTTTGTTTGTTTTGCCGTGTGACCAAGAGCCCCTTATAAACTGGAGCTTCATAAAGAAGGAGTAATTTTGGTGATGTCTCTGATCGTAGTAAGCCGTCCACCGTTGTGTGAGTAACTCCTAGTAAATGCATTCACTTGCCAAGCTGGAATTGTCTGGGTTATTCTTTGTTCTGTTGGCACTGTCTCAATTCAGAGGCAGGCATTTCTCTTACATCTCCCAGCAAATCACAGAGCATGGGCCAACCTCATGGTGAGATGAAAGTATAAGAAAGCATTGTCCTTTTGATCTGGAATGGCCATGTCATATGTTCCTGCCTCCACCAGATGTGGGCCAGACTATGAAAGACGATGTGGCTCCTGGAGGAGTGGGCAGGAGCAAGTGTTTGCTGCCTCGACACCTGACAGCTTACACACAAAGTCTTGAGTCACATCCACAGCACCACAAAATACAAACAAAAGCATTTGAACATGCAGGAAACACCCTGTACACCTTGTGCTAGATATAGCAGTTAGGTACAAATTACAGCTCAGTACAATAAACACCTAGACAGGAAATGGTGTTACTATTGCCCTTTGTAACATGGCATGTTTCAACAGTTGGTTACATTGTATTTGTCTCTTTATTTCTATATATCTTTTTACTTCTATGTGTCTATTTTTATTTTTTCCATTCCCCCCAACCATTTGTTGGCTGCAGATACCATAACACCTCCTTCAAATATTTTAGTATCTATCTCATGAGAGCAAGACTGTTTTCCTTTATTACAAAATTGAAATGACCACACTCTGGAAATTGGGCATAATTTTAATACTATCGTGTATTTATTGCCTATCTGCAGTCTCCCCACGTTGCTTTGATAATGTCCTTTTATAATTCTTTTTCAAACATGGAGATGCAATCAGGGAGACATACCATGCATTTGCATTATGCAATTTTGGGCCAAGATAACACACACATAGGTCATGTCTTCAGTGCATTCCATGAGGAGTCACATGTTTTTCTGTCCCTTTGTTGAGGATAGGTTTACTTGTGAGTTTCAGGTAGTGTCTGCCAGAAGTCTCTCTTTTTCCTTCCGTGATTAATCAGTAAACCAGCAAAATAACACTTTGAGAATGCGAATATGCTGCTCCCAACCTATCACAGGAAAGTGAGTTAAACAAATTAATATACAGTCAGAGAGGGACTGGGTCCTCAAGGAAGTAAATATAAAAATATGAAGACGTTGAGACTGTGGCTGGAGGCTCAAGCCAGACATGCAATGGCCAGGCTTACATGCCTCCCTATGGGATAAATAGCAACTTAAGATTATAGTGTAATTAACACCAACTGGTCCAGATAACATCAGTCACCCAGGCAGGTGACTGAGATTCCATACCCATCCCTTCCCCAAAATGCCTTCTTCTTTCCATGTACTCTTGCTACATGGCTTGTTTCTCTGTTGGATCCATAATAGCTAAATGGATACATTGTACATGTAATTGTGTAGGTTGACTATAGTTTAACCCATGTGAGACCCACTTTGTGACTTTGCTGTATAAATTATCTCTGACAAAGGGCCTGGATGATCACCCATACAGGACCCCACCAGGAAATCCAGGAGCTCTTTTTTCTTCCCCTTAGTTTCAATGAAACTTTTAACTTCTTCCTTTGGTTCACATTATTCCTTGATTTTGTGAGACAATAAACTCAGCACATTTGGCATCTAATAGGTAGAGAGTTATGCTTCTCCTTTATCAAGATGATCTTTCACCCAGTGTCACAGCATTTAATGAAGACTTTTATCTGCAGCACTTACTTCTCTGTGTAAATGACACAGCTCAGGACCACCATGGTGAGACAGTGGCTGGACACGAGGCTGGGACAACAAAATGAACTCCTGGGCACACAAAACTATTTTCCTTTGTAACATGGCATGTTTCAACAGACTTGTCTTGAGACCCTGATAAAACTGCAAAAACAATATGTTTGCATGAAATGAGAAAAAAGCTGCCAGGGAAAATATCTAAATAACCCCTCCAGCCTAACTTCCTCTTAGTGGATGTAAACAATAATCAAGTTTTGGAGGTCACACTGTTGGGCACACAATGTTTGCCCCCTACTAGCTTTCCTCTAGATAATACCTCTGATGTGTGGGTTATGATAGTGGTTGCCTATGTTACTTTTGGGGACCTTAAAGCCACTTTTGCTGAGAACTGATTCTTCATCAGACCATGGTCTGATGAAGAATCAGACCATGCAGTTGTCCTTCAGCCCTACAGAAGGCCAGAATGGTTATGCAAGACACCAATGCAGCTGTAAGAGCAATTTAGCAGTTTCTGAGTGAAACTATCTATTAACCCAGGAAGACGATGCCAGATACACAAAAATTCCACAGCCCTAAGGACAGATTGATTGTAACTACTAGGTGGTCCAAATCTATCACAAAAACATTTTTTTTTTTGGAACCTTACCCTTAGTTAATGGGAATTGCAGGATTTTAGCCCACTCCAACAAATCAACAAACAGCTTCCTCCTCTCCTTGCTTTAGAAGCAGTATTTTGGGGATTCTTCACCAAATGCTGGCTTCCCTCAGCCAAAGGCTTAATTTGGCTGAAAAACCTTCCTCAACTCCCACTAAACTTTTGCTTGCATTGGAGTGTGTGTTCGTGTTTCTACCATCTCTGGATCAAGTGAGCCCACCCTCTGTATCACACACATCTTCTAATTTTAGCATTGCTTTCATAGTTACCATTAAAGTTTTAAATATCTTAGTCACCGAGGTATAATTCGTGTTCTATTGTCCCATACTTGGCCAGTGGGAACCCCTTCATATCGATAACTCTGAGCTCCTCTTAGCAATGAGCAAAGCCTTGGTATTAAGAACTTTCTTACTTTCTGAAATAACCAGCCAGGGCTGCTCCTCTGCTCCAGGCCTAAATTAACCATTGTCTGAGCAGAACCCTGCAGGAGTGGAGGGAGCAGAGCCTTTGAACTTAGGGCATGAGAACTACTCCAAGGGTGCTTGCTGGCACTGACTGACTGGGCACATACCATGTTCTTGATCTTTTCAGGAGTTGTCTGTCATGAACAAGCATTCAAGTAAATGGAAAATCAGTAGTCAAGCCAAAATGCGTAAAAATTAGAAGTAGCACTGCAAATCAGGAGGAAAGACAGACTATTTGAGCAACAAAGGTAAGATAGTGAATTATTCATATGGGGAGAAAACGTTCTTGCCCTTGGTGAGCTGACTGCGCCTTATGGAAAAAGCAGCGGTAAACAGCTGATAGAGAATTAGGACAAGAGCCTTGAAGATGCAATGAAGCAGTGTTTGTAATGTTCAGTGTCTGCATACACTGCATCAAAACTGCAGAGGAGGCCAGGAGTGGTGGCGCATGCCTGTAATTCCTGCATTCAGGGGCTGAGGCAGGGGTATCCTTGTGAGTTCTAGGGCAACCAAGGCTACACAGTTCAAGGCCGGCATGAACTCCATAGTGAAACTCTATCTCCCCCGCAAAAGAACTCCCTCTCTCAAAAAACAAAACAAAACAAAACCTGCTGGGGAAATTGGCAACCTGGCTGCAGGAGACCCTTAGAAGAGTAAGAACAGGTGACTTCCGGGAGAACATGGCGGACAGATAACAGCAACTACCAGAGGCTCTCTGAAAGACTCGGCTCAGAAGCCAGGAATGGTGTGGACTAAGGAGACATAAGCAGGTGGAGATATGCTCTGCTGACTCAGGAACAAACTGGGCTGAGACAAACCAACTTGGAATGCAGTCCTGGTGCTAAAACAGGAACAGAAAAGCCTCGGTGTGGAGGCTGGACCCCGCGCCATTGTAAGCCGCGATTTGGGTTTCCTGCTGCGCGGTGGCTGGCTGCCTCTACAGTGGCTCGCTGCCTCTACAGTGGCTCCGCAAGGAGAGAGATGCCCAGAAGCTCTGAGAACGGCAATCTGCGAATGGCAGGGAGGCGTGCACTGACTTGTGGTGAGGTGAGTGAGAGAAACTGACACTCTACCACAGTTTGACTCCAGCAGAGGACTTTCTGGGCCCGAGCAGTCCTGTGGGAGCAGGGCGCGGTGGCGACTCCAGCCACACATCCCCCTCTCGGGCGGGATTGGTGAAAAGTGCCTGGCCTGCGTGACGCTGCCAGCGGACCTGG